GATATTGTCACCAATCAGTTAGATTCAAAGTCTAGATATTGTGATATGGTGCTTTGGTGAATGTTTTTCAAAGACAAAGCCCTACGTCATTGGTGCAGACGCCTGACAGTAATCCCCAGCCTCTATCTGATCCCCGTTTCTCATTAATAAACTAAAAAATAAAAGGTTGATTTCTTTCACCACACTGATGTTACATTGGCTTGCTGGCTTTAATATTACCGTAAATGTCTCTCAGTACGACAGGAGGTTTGCTGACTAAGATCGAAGTGTAAATATAAGCGTCATTGTCTCTGCGTGGTCGTGACCTTTACTGATAACAATTTATATTGTCAGAAAGCCCTCATAACTCTGTCATAAACTAGCCATAAATGCACACATTAGCATGACAAATCAGGACAGTGTATGGATGCTGTTGAGTGGAATATTGTCCCGTAGCATTTTAGAGTCTGGCATTTTTAGCGAGGAAAGCCCTCCTTTCTTTTAGTCTTTGATGTGTCATGCTAACACTTAGATAATATTTAGATAAAAAGATAATATACAATTAAAGCTTATAAAGGTAGCATTCAGCCTGGACATTCAGACATTCGTGGTGTCTGTACTGTTGGTCCCGGTAGCATAGCCTATGTTCTGCTGCACCTGACATAATGGTGCTTGTGTTGCAACCTCTCACTCATTGTTGTCTGTACTGCCTCCTTTCTTATCACAGGGACTGTGCTGCTGCTTTTGGCATCAATATGTCGCCTGGTACAAGGATGTATTTGCTTTTATTCCTGGCATTACGGTGTCTATACTTTATACTTCCGCTTGGGGTGTCATTGTGAATCACAATGTCTGTACTGTTACTAATGGAATCAGGGTGTCTGTTGCCCCGCTTCAGACATCACAGCATCTGTGTTGTTGTGTCTGGCATCACTGTGTCTGTATTACTTCTCCTGGTATCACGGTGTCTGTACTGCTTTTGCTGGCTTCGGCATATCTGAGCAGAACATTGAATCTGCCGTATCTTCATAACCGTTTTATGGCATATCCCTTTCACTGACATGATCTGCTTTCCCTGCATCAGTCTTTGAAATCGAATAAGCTGGCTGCACTTTGCCGGTGATCTGGTCAACCATCTCTCTCTCTCTCTCTCTCTCTGTCGTGCTCTATTGGATTTAAGTGTGCTCCTTTCTCTGTGCTAAGCTAATTAAGGCTGCCAACCAGCAGAGCAGAACGCCTGCATTGCATATGCATATCGATGTGTATATAGCGTGAGCATCGTGTGCCTATATGCAGATGTTCACTGTTTAAACCTTTGTGGCCACAGCTCTATGCTTCGCAGAATTATGTGTCAGTTTCTAAAAGATGACGTGAGCGACTAGATGAGGGTTCTGATGAAAACCATCCAGCTCACGATGGTAAAAATCTGCCCCTGTCCCTGAATCTGGGTTCTGGGGTCTCTCTGTGGTAGGCTTTCTGCGTCCGAGGAGTCCCCTCAGAAGGTCAGAGGGTTCCAGACACCAGGTGTTACCTTCAGCTCCTGCAGATCCCATGCAGGGACAAAAACCTCTAACCTGTAACATCCCTGCATGCTCCAGAGTGAACGTTTATAGTGCCTTTCTTGTTGAAGCTGGGAACATGAGGTCATCGAGGACAGTGGGAGAAAAAGGCCAAAAAATCAACCAGATGTAGATAGAGATATTAGGAAGCTTGACTCATGATGAAAAGGGATTTCCTGTTTCTCCTCTGAAGGGATTTCATTCAGGGGCTGATACTCTGTGATACTGCCCCCTAGTGACAGTGAGTGAGTTCAGTATCTACCAGCACCCAAGGGAGCGATGGAATGAAGGATAAAAATGCATTTTAATATACACACACTATCCCAGTATTAATTAGACTTTTGCTTTCTGCTGCTCCCAGATGAGTGCTGCTCATTATAATGAAAATATTATTTGCATTTTTAAAGTATTTCTTTCTGTGGAGCTGTGCAGGACCAGTGTGGTGGAATTGGTTGTTGGCGTCAGTTCTTGTCAGTGTCTTTGAGGTCATAGTGTTATAGTTCCCCTTTTAGATGTCTGCCTCAGGGGCCTTCATTTCTGGTAGGTGTGGATCGTGGGCCCATAGGCTCACACTATTCTGGTAGGTGTGGATCGTGGGCCCATAGGCTCACGCTATTGTGGTGGGTGTGGATCGTCGGCCCATAGGCTCACGCTATTGTGGTGGGTGTGGATCGTCGGCCCATAGGCTCACGCTATTGTGGTGGGTGTGGATCGTCGGCCC